TACCATTATCATCCAATACAGCTTTCGGCCACCACTGTACTTCCAGTGCCTACCATATGGTGAGTGCTCAATAAAAAAATTTTTTTAAACAATCTTGTGAATGAATCAATAAATATCGGACAGGTAAATGAATAAATTCACTCAGGGACCCCATGGTAGCTCCTGGCAGAACATCCAGGCGTGGTAATCTTAGAAAACCAAGCAAATTCAAGGGGTGGTTGCAGAGTGGGCCTAGGGTCCAAGGCCACACATGGCTACAGTACCAAAGGAACCACGCCTCTGAGAGGAAGGAATGGGGTCTCCAAAGGCCCAAGGCTGGGGCCAAGCTCAAAAGACAGAGTCAGCCCAAGCAGGAGAGAACAGAAGGCAGAGAAGCAGCCACCCTGGCAGGGAGTTCGGGCAGGATTGTAGGGTCTGGGGAGAATTGGGGGGCCTCCAAGAAATGGAAGGCTACAAACCTTAGACTGTGAATGTCATGCGCGTCCGTGTGAAGAGACCACCAAACAGGCTTTATGTGAGCAACATGGCTGTTTATTTCACCTGGGTGCAGGCGGGCTGAGTCCGAAAAGAGAGTCAGCAAAGGGAAATAAGTGTGGGGCTGTTTTATAGGATTTGAGTAGGTAAAGGAAAATTACAGTCAAAGGGGGGTTGTTCTCTGACAGGCAGGAGTGGGGGTTACAAGGTGCTCAGTGGGGGAGCTTTTTGAGCCAGGATGAGCCAGGAAAAGGAATTTCACAAGATAATATCATCCCTTAAGGCAAGGCTTGGCCATTTTCACTTCTTTTATGGTGGAATGTTATCAGTTAAGGCGAGGCAGGGCATTTGCACTTCTTTTGTGATTCTTCAGTTACTTCAGGCCATCTGGGCGTATACGTGCAAGTCACAGGGGATGCGATGGCTTGGCGTGGGCTCAGAAGCCTGACAGTGAACAGGCTGGCTCTGGACCTGGGATACCCACACTACCCCCATGGTGTCAGCAAGGCCCCAGACAGGCTGTACCACAGAGGGCCTGAGAACCACAAAAAGGACGCTTTGAGGGCTGGGAGGTAGCACAGCGGCTGTGGCCACACCTTGCCTAATGGGCCTCTCTCCCTTTCCCCTGCACTGTGGCAGTGGAGTCATGGCAGAGGGTCAATGGTGGCCTCCTTGGGGTCTGCAGCCAGAGCTTCTGCCACTCGGTGCTTAGAAACCCAACAGTCTTGCCTGACAGTCCCGTGAGTGCAAGGAGCTGGGAAGAGGACATGAGGGCAGGACCCAAAACAACCAGGAGACTAAGGAAGCTCTAGGGAGTGAACAAGCCATGAATGGCTGGAGCCACTCACCATTAAACAGAGATTCACTTGCCAAAGTCTAGGGGGCAGAAGACCTGGGCCAACCCTGAGCCCACAAACAGGGCCACACTATAACCCCTGCCATGGGTGGCATCCTCCTGCGGCAGGGGTTCTGGGCCAGGCATATGTGGACCCATCTGAATCCAGGCTCCAGCCTGCTGCCTCATGCCTAGAAAAGTCAAAAAGTAGACCAGGTCAGGCACGGTGGCTCATGCCTGTAATCCCAGCATTTTGGGAGGCTGAGGCAGGCAAATCACGAAGTCAGGAGCTCGAGAGAAGTCTGGCCAACATGGTGAAACCCCATCTCTACTAAAAATACAAAAATTAGCCGGGCATAGTGGCCAACACCTGTAATCCCAGCTACTCAGGAAGCTGAGGCAGGAGAATGGCTTGAACCCAGGAGGCGGAGGTTGCAGTGAGCAGAGATTGTGCCACTGTACTCCAGCCTGGGCAACAGGACAGACGCTCCATCTCAAAAAAAAAAAGCCCAGAGGGAGACAGTCAGAGGCAAGGGTCCCAAAATAAGAAGAGGAGGAGGGGTCAGTGGCAGGGAGTGGGGCAGAGCTGGGTGGGGCCCCTGGCCTGGGGTCTTTCCCCTGCCTGGCTTCTCCTGAGCTCCTGGCCATGGCCTTGACAGCAGGAGCCAGACCCTCACCAAGGAGCCAACTCTCCAGTGGACAAACAGTGCCCTTGGCCAAGTAGGCAGCACACGTATGCCCAGCAGAGGATGTCTCCTTGGGAGCCAGACAGGCAGCCACCTGAGAGTGTTCAAAAGAGAGGAGTCACTGATGACTCTGTCCTCGCTCTCCTCCCAGCACCCACTTCTTTTGCTCCTGCACCTTTTTTTTTTTTTTTTTTTTTTTTTGAGACGGAGTCTCGCTCTGTCGCCCAGGCTGGAGTGCAGTGGCGCGATCTCGGCTCACTGCAAGCTCCGCCTCCCGGGCTCACGCCATTCTCCTGCCTCAGCCTCCGGAGTAGCTGGGACTACAGGCGCCCACAACCGCGCCCGGCTAATTTTTTGTATTTTTAGTAGAGACGGGGTTTCACCGTGGTCTCGATCTCCTGACCTTGTGATCCGCCCGCCTCGGCCTCCCAAAGTGCTGGGATTACAGGCGTGAGCCACCGCGCCCGGCTTCTGCACCTTTATAAAGCAGGTCCTAGGCATGAGCTGGGGCTCAGAACAAAGCAGAGGACAAGGGATGACAGGAGGTGCGGGATGGGGAGCATCACTCCAGTCACCTGCTCTTCTCAGTGCATGGGCAAAATAGCCTGGGGCAGGAGGCAGCAGGGCGCACCAAGCACACAGCACACGAGGCCCAGTGCCGTGCACACCACGGCGGCAGCTGGGCTAACAGAACAGGTCCCACACGCATACCTTGGGGAGTCACAGGTGCAGCTGAGCTGGCCCCAGTCACCTCCCTGTTGCCACAACCCCAGGAAGCCACTCCTCCTCCTATGCCCCTCTGGGAGCTTGTTCCGCACTGTCTCCTCTCTGCTGTCCCAGCTCAAATCGCTACCATTGGAAGAAAAACAAACAAACAAACACACCACAAGAAACCCTTCACATGGAATCTCCAACTCCCTTTTTTGTTGTTGTTTTTGAGACGGACTCTTACTCTGTCGCCCACGCTGGAGTGCAGTGGCGCGATCTCGGCTCACGGCAACCTTTGCCTCCTGGGTTCAAGTGATTCTCCTGCCTCAGCCTACAGAGTATTGGAATTACAGGCACCTGCCAATATGCCCGGCTAATTTTTGTATTTTTAGTAGAGATGGGGTTTCACCATGTTGTCCAGGCTGGTCTTGAACTCCTGGCCTCAGGTGATCTGTCCGTGTCAGCCTCCTAAAGTGCTGGGATTATACGCATTAGCCACCACACCTGGCCTCCCTTAAAAAATAAAAATAAAAAATAAAAATCCACGGGGTCTTGCTATGTCGCCCAGGCTGGAGTGCAGGGATTACTCCCAGGCAGGATTATAGCTCACTGTACCCCTGAACTCCTGGCCTCTAGTGATCCTCCTGCCTCAGCCTCCCAAGTAGCTGGGACTACAAGAGTGTGGCACTGTGCCCAGCTTCAATGCCTGTCTTACTCCTCATCCATTCACGGCCAAAACTCTCCAAGGAGTTGCCTGCGACCAGCATACAATTTCCAACCGCTCTTCAGTCTGCTCCACTGCCTGGCTCTTGCCCAGGGTGCCATGGACTCCATGGTGTGAAATCTCCATTCCACACTGCACTTCACCGCAAGCCTGCCTTTGTCCAGTGTCCAGCCCCAGGTCCTTCCCACTCCCTCCACACCCTCCCTTGAGGGAGCTGCTGAATGTATGTCTCCATCCTCACCTCTCCCCTCCAAGCTCTGGCTCTCTCTGGCCTCCAGTGCCTCTGGCCAGGATGCCGCCTAAGGCCATCTCCTACAGAAACGACTTTCCACCTCCCACACCCGCCCCATCTGCTCTTTCCATCTTCCACAGAGCAGCCAGTGTGGTCTTCCTAAAACACCATTCAGTCCCCAGCGCTCCCAGGACCCTCCGTGATGCCCACTGTCCTCAGGACGAGGCCCACTCCTGGACTGCCTCCAGGCCCACACAGGCTGGGCGTAGGCATCTCCCACGGGGCCATCTGAAAGCCCACGATCCTGGGCCTCGGGGCAGGACAGCCAGCCGCTTCTGGGCTCCTGGACATGGAGGGGAAGGCCTGTAGAGATCTCAGGCTCCAACCAGCCCTGAGGTGTTGAGGAGGGGCACAACTGCACTTCTTCCCCTCCTCCATGCACAGGAACCCTGCCCTGATTCTGCTGTAGCCAGTGAGGCCCCATACCTGCCTGGGCCTATAGGATGGGATGGGGCAAAACAAGAACCCAAGCCCCCCACCCAGGCCCAGAGCCCAAGGTCTCTTCCTCCAAAGGGGCAACCCTGCCCTCCTGGGCAGAACTTTTCTTTAAATGGCTTCTAGATCCACCAGGGCAGGGGGGAGACAGCAAGTGGAATAGACTCAGCCAGGAAAGCCCGCCCTAGTGGCTGCACACCCATTCCACCTCCAGGAAGATGTCACAACTCCTGTTACCATGGCAATAACACAGGCCGGAGCCCAGCCAAGGGGACTGGGGCTTGGGGGCTGGGGTTGCTCCTTGGTTCCCTGAGAGAAGAGTCCTGACACAGTAACCACGACCCACAAAGCTTGACACAAACTGTGGCGTCATTGGTTATCCCAGGACCTCTCCCCACCGTTATCACCCCACTACCATGCGCTTGCCAGCACCATCACCCCATCACCATCACCCTTGTCACCAATGTCCAACCGCAATATACCCACCCCCATCTACCATCATCACATGCCCAGTACAGCCCCATTCTCTGTCACTCCTGCCCTTATTGGGACCCATCAGTCATCCGCTGACTCAACCCAGCATCTAGGGCAATGTGACCCCGACTCCTGGTCCTTCAACTGTCAACCTGCGACCGCAGTCACCCCCGTCCCCACCACCCCAGCACGCTAATGAAGACACCTTCACAACATAAGGAGCAAGTGTCCTCGCAGTCAGATATGGTGACAGCTTCTTGGGCTCCACCCCAATGACCGAATCATCCCAGTCCCCCGGATGCACGCTGGCCCCACCGAGTCCTCTTGTCACCTTTGCCAGGAAGATGCACCCAGCCTGCAGGCTTTACTTACCCTAACATGGGGTCGCTGTAGCCAGGGCGAAACCTCAGCGCTGAGCCCAGCTGCTCCACCGGCTCTACACTGGCGGGCACACTGCCAACAGGAAACCTCATGATCAGCACAATGAAACCCCACCGAGCGCGCCAGCACAAACACTACCTTAGGGCACCGCAAAATGTGTGCAGAAGCGACTATGAACCGGTGGCTTCAATGGCCTTCCAGAGGTGGACTCTGCCCACACTGGGATCTCACAGCACAAAGCCACACGTCCTCTCAGGTGTCCACTGGACTGTCTCCAGGAGAGAACATATGTTAGGCCACAAAACAAATCTCAGCAGATTTTAGAAGACAGATACCATACAAAGGATCTTCTCTGACCACAACAGGATGAAGTTACAAATCAGTAACTACATTGCCACAAAGTTTATTATTATTATTATTTTTTTGAGATAGAGTCTTGTTCTGTCGCCTAGGCTGGAATGCAGTGGCATGATCTTGGCTCACCACAACCTCCGCCTCCCGGGTTCAAGTAATTCTCCTGCCTCACCCTCCTGAGTAGCTGGGATTACAGGCACCCGCCACCTTGCCCAGCTAATTTTTGTATTTTTAGTAGAGACGGTGTTTCGCCATACTGGCCAGGCTGGTCTCGAACTCCTGACCTTGTGATCTGCCCACCTTGGCCTCCCAAAGTGCTGGGATTACAGGCGTGAGCCACTGCACCTGGCCTACATTGCCACAAAGTTTTTTTTAAAAAGCACTAAAAAAAAACAAAAAAAACAAAAAAAAAAAACCTTGGGAAACTAAAAGTACAAAAAAAAAAGCAAAATAAAACCAAAGCTCTTGAGTTGTATTGTGTTAAATAAGAACTCATACAAGATACTTACCTAGCAGGGGAGATACCATGATCACAAAGAAGTAAAAAAGGAGGCCGGGCGCGGGGGCTCAAGCCTGTAATCCCAGCACTTTGGGAGGCCAAGACAGGCGGATCACGAGGTCAGGAGATCGAGACCATCCTGGCTAACCTGGTGAAACCCCGTCTCTACTAAAAAATACAAAAAACTAGCCGGGCGAGGTGGCGGGCGCCTGTAGTCCCAGCTACTCAGGAGGCTGAGGCAGGAGAATGGCTTAAACCCAGGAGGCGGAGTTTGCAGTGAGCTGAGATCCGGCCACTGCACCCCAGCCTGGGCGACAGAGCGAGACTCCGCCTCAAAAAAAAAAAAAAAGAGAAGTAAAAAAGGAAATTAACAAGTATGTAGAACTGAAGGATGAAAATACATCAAAATTTGTGAAACCCAGATAAAATAGTTCTTAGTGGGAGATTTATATCTTTAATAGAACTTATCAAGAAATGGGGAGGCCAAGGAGGGTGGATCACAAGGTCAGGAGTTCAAGACTAGCCTGTCCAGGATGGTGAAACCCCATCTCTACTAAAAATACAAAAATTAGCCAGGCACAGTGGCATGCACCTGTAATCCCAGCTACTCGGGAGGCTGAGGCAGGAGAATCGCTTGAACCCAGGACGTTGCAGTAAGCTGAGATCGCGTCACTGTACTCTAGCCTGGGCGACACAGCAAGACTCCATCTCAAAAATAATAATAATAATAATAATTTATCAGGAAATAGGAATGGTTAAAAATAAATGATATGGGCCGGGTGAAGTGACTCACACCTGTAATCCTGGTGCTTTGGGAGACCGAGGCAGGCAGATCACCTGAGGTAGTTCAAGACCAGCCTGGCCAACATGGTAAAACCCCATCTCAACTAAAAATACAAAAATTAGCCAGGCGTGGTGGCGGGCACCTGTGATCCCAGCTACTCTGGAGGCTGAGGCAGGAGAATCACTTGAACCCAGGTGGTGGAGGCTGCAGTGAGCTGAGATCATGCCATTGCAGTCCAGCCTGGGCAACAAGAGGGAGACTCCATCTCGAAAAATAATAATAAATAAATAAATAAATAAGATGATATTAAATTCAAGATGAGCCAGGTGCGGTGGCTCACGCCTGTAATCCCAGCACTTTGGGAGGCCAAGGTGGGTGGATCACGAGGTCAGGAGTTGAAGACCAGCCTAGCCAAGATGGTGAAACCCCATCTCTACTAAAAATACAAAAAATTAGCCGGGTGTGGTGGCAGGTGCCTGTAATCCCAGCTACACGGGTGGCTGAGGCAGAGAATTGCTTGAAACCAGGAGATGCAGGTTGCAGTGAGCCAAGATTGCACCACTGATCTCCAGCCTTGGCGACAGACCGAGACTCTGTCTCAAAAAAAAAAAAAAAAAAAAAAACTCAAGATGATTTATTTAAAAGTAATGGAAAACCCAGGCAGGGTGGTGGCTCATGCCTGTAATAACAGCACTTGGGGAGGCCGAGGAGGGCGGATCACGAAGTCGGGAGTTCAAGACCAGCCTTGCCAACACGGTGAAACCCTGTCTCTACTAAAAATACAAAAATTAGCCTGGCGTGGTGGTGGCCATCTGTAATCCCAGCTACTCGGGAGGCTGAGGCAGGAGAATTGCTTGAACCTGGGAGACAGAGGTTGCAGTGAGCCAAGATCATGCCATTGCACTCCAGCCTGGGCGAAAAGAGCAAAACTCTGTCTCAGCTGGGCGTGATGGCTCACACCTGTAATCTCAGCACTTTGGGAGGCCGAGGCGGGCAGATCACCAGGTCAGGAGATTGAGACCATCCTGGCTAACACAGTGAAATCCTGTCTACTAAAAATATAAACAATTAGCCGGGCATGGTGGCAGACGCCTGTAGGCCCAGCTACTCCGGAGGCTGAGGCAGGAGAATGGTGTGAACCCAGGAGGCGGAGGTTGCAGTGAGCTGAGATCACGCCACTGCACTCCAGCCTAGGGGACAGAGCGAGACTCCGTAGAGAATAATAGAGAATAGAGAAGATTAGCAAACCAAAGCTGATAGACCTCTGACAAGACTAACCACAAAAAAGGAGGCAGTCAAGTGAAGTAGCACATGCCAGTGGTCCCAGCTACTCAGGAGGCTGAGGTGGGAGGATCACTTGAGCCCAGGAGTTCCAGGCTGCAGTGAGCTGTGATCATGCCACTGCACTCCAGCCTGGGCGACAGAGTGAGACTCTGTCTCGAAAACAATAAATAAATAAAATAACATAATAACCTTATTTGGATTCTGATTTGGACAAACCATCTGTGAAAAGGCATTTTGGAAACTAGTGGAGGCAACTGAACGCAGTATTGAAAGTTATCAGTGAATTATTGCTAATTGTGCCAAATATAATAGTGGTTATATTTCCCTTATATTGGAAGGGAAATAGTTATATTTCCCTTCAAAGACCTCATTTTTAGCAATGAAAACTCACTTTTTTTTTGAGATGGAGTCTCATCTCTGTTCACCCAGGCTGGAGTGCAGTGGTGAAACCTTGGCTCACTGCAACCTTCACCTCCCAGGTTCAAGCGATTCTCCTGCCTCAGTCTCCTGAGTAGCTGGGATTACAGGCACGTGCCACCATGCCCGGCTGATTTTTGTATTTTTAGTAGAGACAGGGTTTTACCATGTTAGTCAGGCTGGTCTCGAACTCCTGACCTCGTGATCCGCCCATCTCGGCCTCCCAAAGTTATGGGATTACAGGTGTGAGCCACCGTGCCTGGCCTTTTTTTTTTTTTTTTTGAGACGGTCTCATCTGTCACCCAGGCTGCAATGCAGTGGTGTGATCACAGCTCACTGCAGCCATGACCTCCCGGGCTCAAGTGATCCTCCCACCTTGGCCTCCCAAGTAGCTGGGACTACAGGCACATGCCACCACACCTAGCTAATTTTTTGAATTTTTTGTAGACACAAGGTCTCACTATGTTGCCCAGGTTGGTCTGAAACTCCTGGACTCAAGTGATCCTTCCGCCAAAGCCTCCCAAAGTGCTGGGATTACAGGTGCAAGCCACTACACCCAGCCATATACTAATATTTAAGGAGAACTTTTTTTTTTTTTTTTTTTTGAGACGGAGTCTCGCTCTGCCGCCCAGGCTGGAGTGCAGTGGCCGGATCTCAGCTCACTGCAAGCTCCGCCTCCTGGGTTCACGCCATTCTCCTGCCTCAGCCTCCCGAGTAGCTGGGACTACAGGCGCCCGCCACCTCGCCTGGCTAGTTTTTTGTATTTTTAGTAGAGACGGGGTTTCACCATGTTAGCCAGGATGGTCTCGATCTCCTGACCTCGTGATCCGCCCGTCTCGGCCTCCCAAAGTGCTGGGATTACAGGCTTGAGCCACCGCGCCCGGCCTTAAGGAGAACTTTTTATGATGTCTGGGATTTGCTTTAAAATAATTCAGAAAAAGAAAAGTGGCCGGAGGTATATAGCATAATGGTGTCAGAGTACTGGTAACTGGTAGTGGGTGATGGATGCATAGAGTTATATTGTTCTCTCTGCTTTTGTACTGATTTGAAACGTTCCAAAATTAGATGTAAAACAAAATAAAATGTAAAAGCGTTATAAACAATTATACCCTAATACACTTGGAGGAAAACCAGTAAAGCTAAGGAGAAAATATTTTTTAAGAAATCTGTGGGCTGGGTGCATATATATATACACACACACACATATATAACAGATATATATTTATATATAAAACATATATATTTATAAATTATATATAGTTTATATATATACATATAAAAGAAATCAGTGTGAAAGCTTCAGAGAGCAATGGAAAGAATGTGAAGGTGATATGAGTGGTGGTGAGGCTGGGGACAAAGATCCAGAGATGAGCCTGACAGTTGAGGTCCTTTTTCTCCTTGGAGCACTAGCCAGTTTCAGAAGGGCAGCTGAGAGGCTAAGCAGCACTTCTGGAAGCTTCAGGAGACCAAGGTGACAGGGCTTAGATCCAGAGCCCAGCAGGTGAGGCGGCCCTGATGACCCCCATTCACTCAGGCTGAGACCCAAAAAGCTGTACCTTAAGAGAAAGGGAGAGACTGAGTAGACGGCTCAGCCTCTAATCATTTCAGTCTCTGCAGCTAAACCAGGTGATCCTAGAACACTAGAGTTACTGCCAGAAGCAACCTAAATCCTCCCTGGAGAAAGTCCTGAGTTCCAAATTTCTATAATCAATTTTGCAAATGCAATGTTAGGCA